GTTCTTTTCTCTCAATGTGAAGTCTTTGTTTTCTTAAATACTGGATCCTTGGCAGGAAAATGCAGGCTTTTTTCCCTAAACTCTTTGAGGACTGTAATAGTGAAGTTCTTTTAAATCACTACTCTAGTTAAATGATGATGACAGTTGAGATTATATTAGTCTTTAGAAAAATTTGGGGAAATTCAAATATGAGCAAAATTAGAACAATATGACGAACCCCCATGTACCCATTAATCAAGACTCTGTAATTATCAAATCAGGGCTAATACTGTTTTTTTCGGTCTCCTAAGCCACCCCCTACCTCCAAATGAGATTATTTTGAAACAAATCCTAGACAGCATGTATTTTCATTAATACTTACATTCTAAAATAGAAACTTCTTGATAAACATTAATCCTCCAAAGTATTTTTTAGTGATATTTTTTCATTCATGGGCTAAGACATTCATAATCTCTTAATGTAATATAATGTTTATTGTATTATTTTACCAAAAAGGCTAGGTAATGAAGCTTACTGAGTCTCTTCAGCCCTCCAGTGTGATTCATCTCAAGGGGCCATGGAAACAGACTGATCGGAACAGATAGAGAAGGGAACGCAGGTTTTGCTCCTAGTGCTCTACTCCCACGGGCACAGCTCAGGAACACTATACCCCTTTTTACTTTCTAAACTCCTGAGTCCTAGGTCCTTGACCTTGTCATTTGTGTGGCTCAGGCTTTAGCCTTTATTAGCTCCTTTCTTGGGTAAAAGCTTGTGTGCTGTTGATTCAATTCTTATTCCTACGTGGGGGATTTGAACATCCCCGCTGCTCTGTGGGAACAAGGCTGTGGCAGTCTGCTCCCATAAAGACCACAGCCTCGGAGCCGCTCTTCTCTGTCCCACAGGTGGTTAGGAGTTGATGGCAACAGGTTTTATGGAAGTTTTACAAACTAGTTGAAAATCACTTCTAAACTCCTGATGGACATGCTTGGCCAAGAATGTCAGTTATTTCTGAGCAGTTTGGCATCATCCTTTAAATAATTAGATTTGGTCATCCATGCCGTTCAGGGAAAATTAGGTGGTGGCCATGGCACAAAGGAAATGGACCTGCATTCCTGGGAGTGTTTATCATTATTTTACTGAAAATGTGGATTCCTCCTAATAGTGGAATGCTGAGTGTGTAAAAAGGCAGTCTTCTGTGAGTAACTTAGATCAGGGTTGAGTAAATGTGATTTACGGGCTTATTTAACAGATTTTTTTTCTAGAACAGTGTGTCTGAAGAATCTTTTGTATTCTCAAGCTTGGAAACAGAGAAAGTAATGAAGGAATCTTCTCATTAGTTGCTGCCCGTGTACTAATCTCAGTCTGAGCAGCACGTCTCAGAATTAGATCATTATTTTTGTCACTTCAGCTTGCCTTCTCATGGCCTGCCCTGCCCTTGACTTTGATGCAGAGAGGAGAAAGACACTTGTGGCCTTGACCATAAATATACACAGCAGCAACAACAGCCAAGTAATTTTATATTTTTGTGGCAAGTCTTTCATTCAGTGGTGGCGGAATGACTTATTTTTAATGCAATGTTTTTCTTTTCACTAAACCTAAATTATTTTCCATCTGATTTTGTGTCTGTGCCATTACAAGGCAGAGCAAATTTTGCACAGCTTCTCATTTTGCAATCGTGGTCGAAGTTTTGTTGAGTTTGCTTTTAGCATTTAACAAGAGGTGGTCAGTGTGAACTCTTTAATTTCTGGTCAGATGAGTATTCGAAGATAGACCTAGTGTATCTGGCATATTAGTAGTGACAGAGGGAGAGAGGAGTTGTGTGAGCAATGGTTGCTCATATTTTAATGTGATAGGAGACTGTTCTTTGGAGAGTAGATGTAACTATGAATTAAATTCCAAACAAACCCTAAAATGGAAGAAACCCAGCTTTATTGCATCCACGTGTAAAGGTTAGAATGAGATATCTGCGTTTATCCAGAATGATACCCATGTGGATAACTTGTAAATTTAAATGATTAGTTAAGAGTAATCACTAATGAGGTTGGTGGTCTTTAAAAAGCCCATGAGCGGCCATCTAAGGTGCATCTATTTGTCTCTCCCTGTCCAGAGGAAAGAAGAGTGATGAAAATCAAAGATGCATGAAAACAATTAGACCAGTGGACTGATGGACTTGTGTTAACGTCAGTCTCTACCACCCTGAGACCAGAACTCGATGGTACCTTCTGCCACTGCCAACTACATAAGAAGGTCTAAGATAGAGTGGAAGAAAATGTGTAACAAAACCCAAAATGATTAAAAAAAAAAAAAAAAAATTTAATCAGCTAGAGACTAGTGGAACCCCTGAAGCTGTGGCCCTTGGCCACTCTTAAGGTCTGCAGCTGAACTCAGCTCTGTAGCTGAGGGTGGGGGTCCATGCCTCCAGTCTCCAGGGACTTGTACTGATTTGGAAATGAAACAAGAGGTTATTCATCAACACAAGGGGAAAACCCAGTGAATGCTATTGCTCACAATTTAGGCATGCCTCACTGGACAATCATGATCCTCAGAAACAAACAAGAAACTCTCCAAGCGATTGTCATGTTCCTCACTTCTTCATGCTCAGAGTTTTCTGCCGCAAACCACGTACTACTCTAGAAAGAGAAAGCTTTCATTAGTCAAAGAAACACAGACTGGCAGTTCCTCTGAGAGCAGAATGAAGATGAATGATCTCATGTAAAAAGCAGGCAATACACATGTAGAACAATGTTTTATAAAAATAAAGTGCTCTTTTCTGAAAGATACAAGACTAAGGAAAAGGTTAAGTGCCGACTCATAGCAACCCTGTATAGGGTTTCCAAGGAGCGGCCTGGTGAGGTTGAACCACCTACCTTGCAGTTCAAACTGACCTTGCAGTCCAGCTCATTAACCCACAGTGCCACACCAAAGGGACATATCTCAGCTATGGAGACATTAGGACCAAACATGAAAACAAATCCCTCTCAGCATATTAACAGTCTCTGCTAAGGCACAAAACTTGTTGGAGAGGCTTAAAGGAAAAGCAGGACGAGATTATGATGCATTTTGCACAACGTCCAGATCACATAACCTCCTGTTTCCCAGAACGTGTCGTGAGTGTTAAGTGACACATGACTGTCTCATGCCAGACTTCTCAGGTGTGCTAATCCATAGTCTGAACACTAGGTTTTATCCAGTGCTTTCTTTTTACCAGACCTTATTTTTAAACTTTTAAAATAAATTTTAAGATATGATTTTGCCCATTTCAGCTTTCTAGAATTGGCCTTTCTTTTTTGGGGCTTTCTAGTTTGTGTGTGTCATTGCTCCGTAATAATTCCTTATATAAAGAAAGATGTACCAATTTTATCATGTTAAAATCATTTTCTTCCTCGTTTCTTCTTTGTCTTCTACAGTGTTGGATGAAGTGTCTTTTCATTGTTTGTGAATCTGCTAATGTTTTCCTTTATGACTTTGGATCTTGGTATCATAGCAAAGCCTATTTATTCTACCCACTAGAGTGTTTAAAAGGAGCCCTGGTAGTGTCTTGGGCTAAATCTTGGTTTGCTATCTCAAGGTCAGCAGTTCAAATTCACCAGCCACTCCTTGGGAAAAGCCTCTTTCTATTTCCATACATACAGCCTTGGAAACGCTGTACAGTGTCGCTGTGAGTGGGAACTGAGTCCATGGCACACAGCAACAGTGGAATTTTGTGTTTTCTTTTCTTTGAGAACTTTCTTCTTTATATTTTATTTGCTTTATTGAATCTGAATTTGAATTTCATTCCTGTCATTAAAACAAGGATGATTCTTTTTAAAACTGCAAATTAATTTAGACTTGCAGTAGCATTAAGTTTGAGTGTTTTGCAGGGTGGTTTGGTAGTTGGTTAGGAAGAATGTACTGACCAGAGCACACATGCCTTTGCCCACTGATGAAGCAAGAAATAAGGCCAACTTTCCTATGTGGAGACTATTTGAATCATTTTTGTTTGCTTGGTATTAAAATAATAAGTTTTCATTTATTAAGAATGAGATTAAATTAGCTTTGATCAAATAATCTCACTTACATATCTCATATGGATTCTGTTCAGAGCGCTTGAACCACAATACACCTGGCCTCTTGTAGTCCTCATGGCTTCCAAGATAGGAGGCCGGCAATCCAAATGCCCATAAGATTGTAAAGATAACAGTATTTTCTTTAAGAGATCACTTAAAAATTCCTGTGACTTCTTTCTCTTTGGTATAATTGTATAATTAAAATGAGCTTTGTACTGCTTATTGAGAAATATGCTATCTGCCTCTTTGGTCTGGTTTGGTGGTTTTTAAGTGCAGTAGGGTTCGAAAGCACCTTTCAGTAGGGGCAGTGCTGGGTTAGACCACAAAGGAAAGCCATAGAATAGGTATTAGACCAGTAGCTCCCTCTCGGCTTCTAATGTGCATCAGTTTGGTCTCTATAGTGGACTCAGTGCTGTGTTTGAGCCCATTCTTAAAGCCACCTTGTCAGTCCACCTCGTTGAGTGGTCGTCCTCTTTTTCACTGAAACTACCACGCATGATGCCCTTCTCCAGAGACTGGTCCCATCCTGATAATATGTCCTAATATGTGAGACAAAAATCTTACCAGCCTTTCTTCTAATCCAAGGCCGATTTGATTTGTTTGTTCTACTGGCAGTCCATAGTATATTCTTCGCCAATACTATAATTCCAATGTATCAATTCTTTGGTCGTTTTTATTCATTGTCCAGGTTTTGAATGCATAGCAGTTAACTGAAAATACTGTGGCTCATGTCAGGTAAACCCTAGTCCTCAAGGTGACATCTTTGCTTTTTAACATTTTAAAGAGATTTTTGCCACAGATTTGCTCAATGCGGTACATTGTTTTGCAAGGCCGACAAATCACCCTAATTATTATATATAATAATGGCTTCATGTCAAAATTTGGTAACACTTTGAACGACATATTTGGGGATCTAATCAGTGCTCCTTCCAGGTAATATACTGTCTGTGTAATTTCCTTTACCTTTTACCTTAGCATTGAGAGTAAGCACGAGGTTACAATCCTGGGAGGACTGAATGAATTTGTAGTGAAGTTTTACGGACCACAAGGAAGTAAGTACATGTGCTTATTTCTATTCTGTTACAACTTTTACTCTATTAGCAGACAGTGAGAAATATCAAGGACGGATGGTTTGGTGGTATGTATAGTTTTTTGTAAAGTAAATTTAATTGAACTTTAATAAAACTGGTGAGGAAATGTTGTTCTAGTCATAACATAATTAATATGTTTGCTCTTTTATCCCTATGTGACAATATTAGAATTGTGAGTTTAGAATGGCTTGTGGGAAGTTTATGGGTGTTTTTTGAGGATTGGTTTGTTGTTGTTGTTTTGAGGTATGGGGTTACTTGAGATGGGAGGGAAAGGACCATGGCTGTTCTCACCAAATAACTGAATAGTTTTAATACTTTAAAGAAATAAATTTGGGGTGGAAAATGAATCTTTGCATATTCTCTAATTCTGGATCTTTTAAAGAAAAGATTCTGACTCTGAAGATGTGAGTCAGAATCAACTCGATGGCACAAGGGTTTGGTTTGGGGTTTTTACTGGTTGTGATACATCCCTGGCTTGTGAAGGAATTCATTTGCAAGATTCTTAGAAAAGATAAATGTTTAAGGTTTAATTTACCCTCAAATTTATGTTCTGATTTGGAGGCACAGTTCTAATACTTACCATTTGTCCTTTTGTTTCAGCACCGTATGAAGGTGGAGTATGGAAAGTTAGAGTGGATCTTCCTGATAAATACCCTTTCAAATCGCCATCTATAGGTATGTAGCTACCCATCTCTCCCCTAGAAAGCTGTTGTAACCACAGGGAAAAGACAAAGTAAACCCACATTACATTTGGTGGGAGGTAACAGATTCCAGAAATGTTTACTTAACTAAGGAGTTCCTTTTTGGGCTTTGGTTAGAGTGCAGGGCTTTGTGGGAATTTCCTACTGTGACACTTAAATCTTCGCATGATAGTAAAACTCTAGATTCTTCTGTTACTTGCAGGGTTATATTTAAGTAAAGAAGTTTAAAACCCACTGACCATTCAGGCTGTTAGGAAACTTATAAACATACCTTAAGTCTCATGTCAAATGCCAGATAGTCAAAATTAATGTTCTCTTAGAGCAACTTTTCTTATTCTGTCATTTATAAAAATTCTTCCTAGATTCTACTTTTCCTTTGTTCCCACCCACTCTAGATACCTAGACGATCTTTTTCTATTCTCCCCAACCCTAGTCTTTGTAGCCTAGCTCTACAGAATGGAGTTGAATCCTCAGTGGGGTTGGGGTTGTACATTTTCCTCAATTTCTTCTTCCTCTGGTGTTCATTGGTGATGTTATTAACCTGTCTCCTCCATTACGGTTCTTTACTGACCGCTAAAGTCTTGTAGGAACAGTTGCTGTCAGTTAAAGACTGGCACCCTGAGGTATTGTGGGAAAGTGTAGAGTGGTGGGAGTTTAGCTAACTTCAGGCTGCTTTCTCCGCTTCAATCTGTAAATCATTTAAGCTACTGACCAATTTATAGTAAAACCAAGAAAATAAGATTGGATAATATCGAGGCAGGACCAGACTCTTTACTGAAAAATAGCAGTTGGCATGCTACAGCTGGTGAATGTTTTTACCCCAGCATCCTAGTCAGAAAGAAAACAATATAGCTTGTGGAAGATAACAGTAAGTATATAAAAATGCAGTCCTATAGCCTGTCAAGCCGGAGAAAGATGAGGCTTTCTGCTCCCGTAAATATTTATAGCCTCGGAAACTCTATACAGGATTACTGTGAGGTCGGAACCAACTCCGTAGTATATAACCACCACCACATCCTGTCAAAATATAGAGATTTTTCACCAATAAGGGGAAGTGAGGGAAAAACAGCAATGAAGCTGTGAGCTAAGCCCTACAATGTTCAGTAGACTCCTGTGAACCCGGATGGAGACCTGGTTGGCCAGCAGTGTGGCAAGACCTGGGGACTCTTGGGCCCAGAGTC